CCCCCCCCCCCTCCCGGGAGAAAGGCAATTCTAGTTGAACTGTTCATAATAAAGGATTTCGTTGTTTCAAAGTCAGGAGTATGGAGGTTTTTCGCTGTGCTTCGGCAATTAATGTAACTGCTCCCAATTCAGAAATCCAGTGCAATTCCGAATTAAGGTAACGGTAAAGGGGACTTGGCAATTGCGAAAATGAACCAATATTTCCAGAAACGTTATCAGTGTAAACTTCTTTTATTTGCCAGACATTATGTTGTTTTCGAGCAGTTGAACCTGTTCTCTACTATACTTAATAGATGGAATGGTTATGGAACCTGGCAAAGTTCTTTGTTGTTGTTTTTGTTGGCTATTTTGGAGGTTGACCTTGCACAAAACCTGGCAAAATACTAATACAAAAGGTGGTTATATAATTCATGCCTAGTCTATGGACATGAAGCAAAAAATGTGTAGATATAAGGACGGGCTTCTTAATGTCTCTACTAACAAGACTGCAAGTCGTAAAAAACGATTGCAACTGTTCATGTCTCACGATCGATGTGGTCGCCATCTACATCACAAGTGACAACATCGTAAGACTGCAAGTGACGTAAATTGAAAATACTCAATCATAAAACTATTATTACTTAACTGACTTGGTTTCATGTTAAGTTTGGGAAAGAGATTCCACGTTGCCGTGCGCCGGAGTCTGTTCAGTATGACGTCGACATGTGGCAAGAACAAAAACGTGGCACACGAGTCTTTAATTAGGCGAGTGTGTCAGTGATGTTCTTACCACATTTTGACGTCTTCTTTGATCTATTACTGAACAGACGCACGACAACATGGAATCTCTTGGCTTTATTAACTAAAGAAAAAACAAAACGAAATGTTAATGACGTCATCTAAGCGTCTATCCTCCAATTGATCATGAGTAAGAACTAAATCAAAATGCGAGAATAATTTGACTTATTACATGCATGTTAATAAAAATGATGTGCATATACTTTACTGACACTCTTTTCTTGCTGCTTGCAGCTGGGTTTGAAAACACACATACAGGATTTCTTTGTATTTATAATTAACAAGAGGAACAGTAAGTTCAATGCACTTTATTAAGCGATTTTAACGCCATAATGTTCAGAATCCATTCAAACTGTTGTTATAACCCAAGATCTTATATATACGTCGATTCCGAAATAACACGAAGACTTGTAGAGGTTTGAAGATTTCCAAAGACAGCTCTAGGAATTTTGAGGATTTCTGAGGGTAACAGGTGCCCTTAGAATATTGTCGATAGTTTCGCAAAGGCTACAGCAGGTTAACCAAGGCCTTGGGAAAGATTCTTGATATTTTTCTGATTCTTCAGTTTCCCAAAATCTGACAAGTCGTGCAACGTAGCGTTTTTAACTCTATATAAAACAGTGCCTTATTAGGATCAATTACTGCTAACGCGCATAATCAAACAAGCGTCTAATAATAATAATGATAATTGCAATGACAATGAGAATGAGAATGACAATGACAATGATAATGATAACAATGACATACACGAACACAAACGTCGTAGCCTCTATACACAGATGTGGGTGATAAAGGAGGGGGGAGCGATCTAGATTACGTTTAAATAAAACTTAAAATGTCCTTTCACAATTCACAGAAAATAAAATAGTCATTTTACCTATCATGAAAAGAGAGACATTTTTATTCGAACTTGCAAAATTAATGAGATTTTGACAGCTGATGTCCAAAGAACAGTCTTCTTTTAATTTCCATCAGAGACAAAAGGAAAACAACGTTCCACCAAACTGCAGAAGGAATCTATCACGGTTAAGCAGTTTTTATTACCTATTGACAGTGTCGAAAACAAAAGTAGACAGTTTCAAAATAACGGTTCACGACGAGAGCCCAATCTCAGTAGATATTGCACCCAGCCGCTTAGATTATTGACCCTTAAATGATATCGTGCCATGATTTATTTCCCAGGCACCAGTACTTTCAACACTTTGCCCACGTCTCATTTGGTTATTTTCCTTACCGGCAAACTTTGCTTCTTAATTCACAAAGTGGTTCTTCCGTGGATGCTGCTCTCATTCAGGGAAATGGTAAGATCCAGTAGTTATCTATTGTGAGGTCAGCCATAGGACTGTGTCATGTGATTGGTCAGATCAAACTCTGTTAGTCAGTAAAAAAAGTATCTGAGTCATTTTTGTGGTTAACCAGAAACACAGAATACTAGGAACCATTCAAAGGCTCTCTTCACTTGGGCTCACTTGGCCATTTTCAGCCACAAAGCTTTATTACGCATTGCGAGCCTATCATACTACGTGTTTTTTAATCAATACCTTTTCATAACTGGCAGCCAAGTTAAAATTATCTTCATGCTTTATAAATAGCCACACTAACCTCTTCTTGGAGCAAAAATTATTTTAAATTATCAACTTAAAAACGAGGTTAGTAAGGCTAAGTTAAATATGTACTAAAGAATTTTTAATTTGCGGCCATTTATGAAAAGTGTCTATTCGCCATTTCCATATGCCGCATGATAGACCTTGTTTGCCCCCCAGAATTTTGCATAAGTAGTCTTCAGTTTCTCTTGGGACGACAGTAATATCCATCTTTGTCATCGTCAACATCATCATCATCGTCATCGTCATTATTAATATTATGTAAATTAAGCATCCCAGCAAGTGATGCTGGCGGTCTTTATTATTATTATTATTATTATTATTATTATTATTATTATTATTGTTATTATTATTATTTAAAACATAAACAAGCGAATATCAAGGTTAAAAGCCGACGTTTCGGTGTCATCGTGACACTATTCTCAAGGCAAAGTGAATAAATCAATGCAAACATTAATACATTAATGCAACGAGATTGATCTTCGCATTAATTTATTCACTTTACCTTGAGAATGGTGTCACGATGACGCCGAAAAGTTGGCTCTTAACGTTAATATTCGATTATCATTATTATTGTTAATATATATTTTATTAATATTATTGATTATTATCAGATTGTTCTCGTAATTTTTGCGGAGGTGGCGGCAGGTTATTGGCTGGCTCTAATATTTCAGGCCTCCCACGTTGTAAGCGAGGTTGGTGAACAACTTACAGTACTAGAATACTGAAGCAGCAGCAGCAACAATTCTTTTATGCTTAAATCCAAACTAAAAAAAGCTACTGCAGGCTTCGTTGACGCAAATCAATGTTATCGTATAGCTTTAGATGTGTCTCTAGTCAAAAAGATGTAGTGCCGTATTATTTAACAGATACCAGTCTATAAACCCTATAACCTGTTAAAGGTTATAAAATCGACCACAACAACAGTGTTTATTTTTTATTTTTGAACCTTTAGGGATTTTATGTTTAAGGAATTTTGTCAGTTTACGACAGATGTTTTCTTACAAATGATTGTATGAAAGATCATTTATTTGAACTGCAGAGAAAGATATGAAGATATGATTGATCATCCCAGTTATACACACAACTTAAGCAGTTCTGAAATTAAAGCCTGAAAAGATTCAGGCTTCAACGGGATTCGAACCCACGACCTCTGCGATACCAGTGCAGAGTGCAGAGCTATCAAGCCAACTGGGAGCTGGTCACGCTGCGAGCTCGTAATATACTCGTAGATGGTAGATAGTAGATAACATGCTAAGTTACCGTCTCCTTAAATTTGACGAAAATTATTCAACTTTGTTCAAGATGGATATGGTTTATCTCAAGGTGGCTCAAAACAGTTTCCAACACTTTGCTTATGATGGGTCGTTATAACCACTCTTTATCACTTGATGCTACAATCATGGTATCAAAAAAGCTGCCCAATCATTGGTGAACATGTTGCTATCATTTTCGTGACGCTATGATTGCCATAGCAACATTATGACCTCCTAAAGACACCCTTCATTACAGCTTTAGGGGCTTATAATTCAAAAATGGCACGGTGAATTTTTTTTATATTATCAACTTTTAATAAGCATGATAAGACGCAACTTTTGGCAAAGTTTAAAAAAATTATGTAGTTAGGGTTCAGAGCCACCTTAAATTTTCGAAAAATTAAGGTGGCTCTGAGGTGGCTTTAAGAAACTGTTTTGAGCCTCCTTAATCTTGTTATGACTGTGCCAGACGTCTTCTTTGTTTGCCATACAGGTCGACTGGCCACAACCAGATGCAGATGGAAAGGTCAATCGTGACTGGTAAATGTTCTTTAATAACACCTAATTACCAAACAGATTTCTTCTGACCATCAACTTCAAAAACTCCCTTCTGACTACGAGGTAAAACATGCCAGAGATAACCTTATTGTCTTTTTGTTATAGGGCAGAGCTACAGATTGAGTCGACCCTAGATTACGCCACGGATAGTTGGTTTTGTAACGTTTTCACAGGTAAGTGAAGACAACATCAACGCAAGATGGTAAACGATGGTTTTGTAATGGCTCATCAAAAAACATTGACCACTTAACTTGTTCGATCTTTTCCAGGAGCTCTTAACCATCAAACGGCCCACCACCTGTTCCCTAGTGTAGCTCAGATTTACTATCCACAGATAACTCCTATCGTAGTCCAAGCATGCAAGGAGTTTGGTGTGAGATATAATTACAAGGATACAATGTTTGAGGCGCTTGGTGCTCATATCTCACATCTTAAGACGCTGGGACAAGAGAAAGATAAACCTGTTGTCACCAGACCTGAGGTGTGGAAGGGTTGACACATCGTTTTTAATTAAGCATGTTGCCAAGCAACGTGACGAAATTTGGGGTGCCATGTTGACGTGACATCGTTTTACCAATGTCAGGCAGCTTCAGGCGAACTTGTTTGTTGACGTTATTTTTTACATTTTGCCTCATTAGCATAAGACTTTGCACTGAGGAGGCATCACGAATTGACTTTACAGTTAAAGTGCTTGTACAACTTGCTACATGGTGAGGTTTTAGCACTTTGTTTGCCCTATTGAAGGGGATATTTCAAAAACTGCAAAATTACTGGATGAACCCGTGCAGTCTTTGTGAAATTTTAAAACTAAATTTTTTAAACTTTAGTGGCACAAAAAGTATTTCAGTAACAGATCGTTCTCAAATTTCTTGAGACAGCTAACCATGCTGTGCCCTTTCAATATTCAGAACTGGTATTTTAGTAGCTCGATAGGAAAGTGAATAGCTTTATGCCAATGAGGCAAATGTTATAAACAAAGATTACTCCTGTTACTGTAGATTGTGACAGAATCAGTCTTTTCGTTTGTTGTATTATTGTAAGGTCGCCGAACAACAATACAAACTTTTCAATCTTTTTTTGTAATTTGCTGTATAAATAGAATACACTGCACATAAAAAATGCGTTACATGGTATAAATCGCTCGCACTGCTCGAAAAGTTGTTTCACAAAGAAAAACGCGAATCTCAAGGACAACAAAATCAACAGGACAATTTTCCTGTCATTACATGGCTATCACAGCATTTTCAGTGAGGAAGTCACTATTTTAATAAACTTGACTGGGGATTATCTTAATGGGCAATAAAACGGGGAATATTACTGTTAGTCTAAAAGGAATTGTAATTAGAATTAAAAAGGAGCTACTCTTAAGCTAAATTAAGGAGTTCAATTATTATCTTTATTACTGATAAGAATGACACTTTTTTGAAGAGTAATTAATTTGATAATATATTGAAAATATTTATATCAATGAGGGTGCAACAAATAATTCCAAAATAAGATCTAACAGTAAAGGAATATGAATTGCGTATGGATTTGCAGTATGGATTTTTCAAAGCGGGAGACAAAAAAAAAAAAAAAAAACTAGTGAGAAAAAGTCGGTGACAAAGCGAGGAGCCGGGGCTCCCGCTTTCTTTGCAACTTTTCTTCGCCGACCTTCCCCCGCTGTGAAATTTCGACTTTTCTTTGTTCCCATTAACTGCCCCTGGGTCTCCGAGGATGGTTTTGTGTTCACTGTTTTGGCCTTGAACGTGCACATACCACAACAAGTGTTTACTCTGCCTGAGCTACTAACCAACAAAAACGGGACGGTTTCGTAAATCACGCATAGTGTATGAGAGCAGCACAAAAGTTTGTGCCCGGTCGTGTACCTCACAATATCAATCTTGGCATCTTTCAGCTCTGTTCCTTTGAAGTTTGCCGGGCTTCATAATCATTCCTGTCTATGGCTTAGTACAGTGTGTCCGCTTAACATGGGGTCAGTTTAATAAAGGTTTCCCTGTGGTAACAATTTTTCCTAATGTACGCCTATTACATCACAACACCTCCAACTTGTGAACTGTAGTGTATTTGTTCCGATCCTCTTCGATTCTCGAAGGAGATGTGTGTTTTTACCTATTCAAAAACAGTGTTTGAGCATAACGGGTTTATCATTTAGTGCAGAGATCTCAACGGCTTTGTTTATGCTAAATAAAAATAAACGTGAAGAAGGAAAGCTGGAGTATCTTAACTTGGTGGCGGTTAGAAAGTACCTGTGTGTACGCATAACACCGGATCCCTAGTTTCTGTCAGATCTGATAAAAAGCAAAATTTCGACGCGTCTTATTCCCAATAACGCTTAAACTTTGGTGGTGTCAAGTTAAAACCTTTATTTTAAGGGGGCACTCCCCTCTTGATTACGATCATGACGACGACGTAAACTACCCACCCAGTGGTTCAACACTTTGCTCTCACCCACACCATCACGACCCTCCCCAGCCCCACTCCAACACGTACTGCCAGCCGTCGTCTGCCATTATTATATGCCACCGTAAACGTTGCCATGACAACATATGAATAGGCAATCACTGGCGATGTAAGCCTGTCATGAAACCGACAATATTGTGTGGTCGTCGCGCCTGTTCGCGTGTGAACTTATCAGTGGTTTAGACAAAGGTTCTCCAATAAGAAAGAACTAACGTTCGCGACAATGCCGAGTGGTATTATAAGTAGTAATAGTTTGGCGATGCTTGATTGAGGTTCACAGTGTTTTTGCAACAAGGAAGGAGAAACCATGAAAAAACGTATTTGTGCAGTTTCTCTCTATCACGCTGAAACACCTTGAAACTCAATCAAGGAACCACTGCCTTGCCCATAATAACTTTTGACATTGGCAAATGCGTTTTTTATCCTTTTGTACAAAAACCTTGCTTGCAAAAGCTGTATAATGACGTTCAGCTCAAAAGCGGATACGTAATTTCTTAGTGGCGTGGATTACCATGGTGAATACCAAAACATCAATTCAAGCTTTTTGGACCTCAGATGTGTATTATGCATTTAATGAGGTATACAAAAGATTAAAGAGTATTATTAATATTGCCGAAGAGACATTAATTCGTTATCCGCACGTTAAGATTTTTTTAATAATATAGTTCCAGCTCCATGTGTTTGACATAATCATCTTTTTATTCTATTCTGCTTGTGTGGAGAAGAATTATGAACAATGATCAGCTTCAGATTTACTTTCTTAATAATTCGTTCATTTCTATTCACACTTGCCCTGTTAATTTGTTCAGGTACATTGGTATAACGTAATGAAATAGAAATAACTTTATTAAGAGACTGAGAGTTGCTCAGGGGTCTCACGCATGTACCAGAGTGACAACGTAAAAATATCTTTTTCCCAACGTGGTTGTTCCGATACTGCAGTGGTCTACACACCTGTATAGTCAGCAGGCGTACATGAGTTCGAATCCCACAAGTCGCATTTACTTTTCCTTTTTCCCTTCGTATGTATTATGTTTATTTTTTTTTTCTTGTCAGCTATCTGCTTATCAAACCACTCTTTCATCTGTTAATATATTATCTAGAAATTATTCATTCATTCCTCCACCTCGATGTCATTTCTATTGCTTTATCTCCCAACTTTTGGAGCCAACTTAGAATCTAATAATACTGAAATTGGTCTATTAATATATAGCCCTACGTTAAAGAAGACTTTTGTGCAAGAAAAGCAGACCTTTTGATTTTTTGCGTCCTTTTAAAACTATTTTTTCTAAGTTAACAAAACAAGGAGGCCATCGAACTTTTTACGACCTAAAGAATGCTTACACAGTACTGAGTACTGAGAAAGAAGAATAGTTGACGAGCCTGTTGGAACAAACGTAGGCCAAATTGAATACAAAATAGATGAATAGAATTTTCTCGTGACGAGAAAAGTATGCAAATGAGTCATTCTCTGTCCAAAGCACGTGGCATAGTTCTACAGCCATTGGTTGCAGTTCTTAATCCACATTCATGACAAGTGAGGTATTCGCGTCAAACTAAGCAAGTTGTGAAGTTGTGCGGACGTGGCTTGTCGTCTCTTCCGGGCAAGAAGGATTCTGTACCCTGAAGGGAGGACAACCTCTGGAAATCCTGCACGACTGGTGGGAAACGGCCTTTGCACCACTTAATCCGATGGTAAGCATCTATTTTGTAACATTTTCCTTCAAGTAGTTCTCAAAATGGGTAGTAAAATCGTTGTCGTAGTGAACACGTGCAATTGACAAGTCGCCGTGTTGGAGGGTTTAGAGCATCAATACTAGATTCCTCGCCGTGTAATCGTTATTTTAGCAAACTGTTAGCTCACTTGACTACTTCTAACTAGAAACTGCGCAGCTTGTCGGCTATTTGTGCGAGAATATAAGTGACAGCGTCAGTTTTGCTACGACAGTTACAGTGACGCAAGGATAAGCTCGATATTCGTTAGCCGAATATGACAGAATGTTGCTGAGAATCATAAACTTCTTGCGTTAATCTTGAAGCATTTCATTTCCTGGCGGATTCTGTTTTCTGTCATTTGGCGGTTGCTAAATATTTACGAAATTAAACGAGCACATGTCCGTCGCTCGTCGAGAATTTCTCCGCAAAGATTTGGTCAACAATGTTTTGAAAATCGAAAACCGCAAGAAAATAAAAGGCGCTAAAGATAACGAAGTGAAAATGCTGGTTAGTTTAAACTTCTGATCAGAAAAAGCGATTCTTAGATCACGAGCTTATAATTATTACTCCCTTACATCTTTGGTCTTTCTCTTGTTGAATTCCAGTCGGCAGATTTCAATCAGGTTTTCTTCTATGTCCTTCAGATCTCTTCCACATTCCTCGCCGCTAAGCCCGCTGTAAAGGAGACGAAACGAATATTTGATTATTCATGTGAATAAACACTAATGTGTCTTGTAAACACTTAATCATCAACTTAGTTGAAGTTGGCAAGGTTAAAATTCAGAAAACCAAGGCCTTGGGAGTTTAATTTACGTTTACGAAGTCTCAAGTTTTCAGCTAACCCCAACACCTCAGTTTACCATGAGGGTTAAAAGAAATTACCTACAACGTTCTTCAAAGAAAGAAAAGGAATATTTCAACATTTATCATAACACAATTCCCACAGCGAATGCAAGAATCGAGGACTTTTCTCGTGAGATAAAGTTTACATTTTAGTCTTGAAGGTTTCCGCTGAAAATGTAACCTTTAGTGAGTCCATTTTAACTGAAATTAAGCCCTTTTTGTCTCTATATAAGTATGATACTTTGACTGAGTATTCAAGCTTAAGACCCGTTTCAGATTAGGCTGGGGAAAAAGATCATCAACATGCACAGGTGTCCCGCCACTCTGCACGTGCACGAAGCGTAAGCGTTTTGGCATTGGCACATATCTTATAAAACGTGTAATCAGTCAATGAAATCTCTAATAACTACACCTCACCGTTTTTCTTTTTATGTCAAACGTACATGTATCCAATTTTTGAGACGAGAAACTTTGTCGCTATTCTGTTTGTGTCTAATTAACAGGGCACACATTTATCCGTTGAGCCAAGGATGTTGAAGAAGGCTAGCCTGTGTAAACCACGTTCAATCAGATACTCTTTATTGCGATGAAAACACTATAAATAGCAGGGATCGCAGAGACCATTTTTAAGTGGTAGGGCTAAAGAATCTGGCCAATACAAACAAACGTTAAGGTCAGTGTTTCGCCATTTATCTTGCATTTGCGCGTCATTTGGAGCCCTAGAAAATAAATCCCAGCAATAAAAGTGGTACGGCTGTAGCCCTACTAGCCCCTCCCCCTCCGCGGTCCCTGAATCGAGAGTCTAAAGTTCTTTCCTTTATCCGATATTTCGATAAATCAGAGAGCTTTAAAACTATTTTCGAGAGGTTTAGCTGATGGTGTGATTTGGGATGAACAAACAATTTCTATTGTCTTGTTGTTATTTTGGTTAATTAAAACTCTTTTAGCTCCAAGGTCAAAACTCTCAACATCAAAATTCTTCTAACTCTTCCTATACATTCTTTAAGTTCTCACTGGGAGAATTTTTCTTTCAAACATGTCGGCTTTTCTAAGATCTTTCAGCACTGCAAAAGTATCTGAACTCGAAATGAGGATATTTCTGATCTAACCGATCCATATGTAATACATCTTCCTGATATTTTGAACTCTTAATTATAAGAGATCCTGTGCTTCCTCTACATCCGTTAATGAATACAATAGTCAGATCATGTTCAAGATACTGTCACCAAAGTCAGGGCATACTTTGTTACCACAGCAATGCAATTAGCTGCCAAACACACTCTTACATTTAGCTGCAAATACTTTCAATTTGTGGACAATTTAAGTATAATCAATTACTGAGCGTCTACACTTGGATGATTAGTATGTTTCAAGACATTAAAGAGATTTACTGCAACCTTAATTTCTGGACTGACATTCATGTAATACTATCACCATTAAATTGTAATAAACCAATAAAGAACTAGCATTAATTTATGGAAAGATATAGACTTAACTTAAAACCATTATGAATTATGAGCCACGTACGTGTGTCTGTGAATTCTAGACTGACGTGAACG